GAAAAAAACATGCATGTTAACTACAGTGATCTGGCATCCCCTTCCACCCTCCCCCCACCAAAAAAAAAAAAACTACGGTAATCTGGCACATTGACACACTTTCCTTCTTTTGTGTTTGGTTGGATGAATGAAAAATAAAAATTACTAATTTTCTTGTTAATTTTTTTTTGTGTTGGCTAAGATTAAGGGTGACAATCGAGTCATGTCATATCAAATTCGTGTTGAGTCATAAAATTATAAGTTTTTTATATTTTTTGTTTGCGTGTCATATTATTTTCAAGTTCGTGTCATAAAATTTATGTCAAGTTCGAGTCGTGTCATCGTGTTAAGTCAAAATTTTTTACCCCTAGTTAAATTTTTTTTTTAATTTAAAATTTTAATTTTAATTTTTTAAATTTATTTAATATATATACATATTTTATCACTGTATTTTTATATGAAATCAATGTATACATAATATATAGACAAATAAGATATATCTCAACACAAATAATTAGCTTTTCATTCACTTTTCTTCCGATTTTTGAGAAATTGATTTGATGGTTGGAAAGAAAATTAATCTATCAACTTTTCTATCCTTCCTACTTTTCTTCCTTACCAAACATGATATTTTATTTATTTCTCCAACTTTTTACTCTTCTAATTTTTCATCCTTCTATTTTTTCATCATATCGGACGGATCATCAGAAAATTCACGAAACATGCATGTTTAGTTTGGTAATCTGCTAAGTAATTATTCATAGTTTGATACTTGTGGTAAAAGTTGGACTGGGTGGCTACTTTTGAGATTGTAGTCATTTCCCATCAACCTTATAAAGAGGCAGTCACTTATTTACAAAATTTATGGTTAGTCTTTTAATTCTTGTACCTTATTCTTCCTTTTTCTCTTCAAATTTATACGATTTACAGTGTAACAATGAGAGTTTGAATATGCAAATTTCAAGTTTCTAATTTTTATTCAACTACCATCAGAAGTTTAACAAAAAAAGTAATTTATCCAAAACCAAAAAATAATTTAAGAAAAAAAAACCCACAATCAACAAAGGGTAGTCATGTTACTGTTTCGAGTTGATATCCTATTATCTTGAAGTAATTATTTGGTGTAACATTGATATACGATTAGTTTTTATGTAATTGAAAAGAAAATAAATTATCAATCAGTTATGATCTATTCGGTGTATCTTTTTTAGAGTATCAATACAACCACGTTTAAGAATATCAATTTTGGATTGAGAGAGAGAGAGAGAGAGAGTACTTATGCCTTGAATACGCATTGAAGAGAGAAAATAAGGTAGAGAAAGTGAAAGAGTAATGAATAGGAGAGAGAGTGAGAAACTAATAGAGAGAGAAAGCAAGAAAATAGGGAGAAAGAGAATAACAGCTTGCATATTGCACCATTTTTTTTTTTTATTGAATGACCTTTTGGTATTTTCTACAAAAGTGTACTTAACGTTAAATAAGATGCCTTAATTTATTTTATGTCAAATAAGTTTAAATTTTTATACTAGCTTCTGTTCTTCCTTTTTTTTTTGCCCCCGGTATCGTACAATTATTCCAAGAACCAAAATGACTACATTATCCCTGACTAATTTTTAGTCTTTTTTTTTTTTTGTAATTTAAATACAAATTACATAATGTGTAACTTTGACAGTAAGGACAAATCGGGTAAATGTTAGGTAAAAACATGAGCAACAAAGCTAGCAACTTGAACGAATTAATGATGAACACGAGAGTTTCTTCTCATTAGCCGTCAAGGTTCGAATTCAATCATCACACTTAATAAAATAATAAAGATGAACCCGAGAGTTTCTTCTCATTAGAACATCAAAATTAGGATGTCATGTTAATGATAAATATTTTTATCATTGTGATACTTAATCATTTTTAAATACATACTCAATACACATTTTTTTTCATTTTTTTTCCTTTTATATTGAACGGACTTGATATACAAATGTATCATGTTATTAGAGTGTTCACTCTAATAAAAATTTTTGACTCCGTCCCTAATGTTTTTTTTTGTTACAAAGTGTCCAAATTTGTGCCGATATATTGCTAGATTGAAAATGTGAATAATTTCCCCACATATTGCTTATGCTTCTCTTTTACTTGTAGGTTTGATCATTCATAAAAAAAATATATAAAAAGCAAGGATTAGTTGGTGAGTATTTCATTTTTTAAAAAATGTGAACTTAGACTTCCTATGGCATGGTTGTAATATCAAGTAGTTGAAAGGGTAAATAACTAGTAACCCTTGTTATAAATGAAGACCACTCCCTTGCTGTCGTTCTCCACCTTGCACAATTAAGCCCCAAGAAAGATCCTACTCCCAAGCCAGGCAGTCCTCGCTAGTCTCTCATTTCACCACATCACCTGCATGGACCTCACGTGCCCACATTCTGACCCACCACCACCACCTCCCAACCACCACATCACGGCGGCCACCACCAATCTCCGTCGTGGCAGCATCACGATTACATTTATCCCCCAAAGTCACCCACTCAATGCCACTAGAGAAAGCCGAAGTTTTCAAATCACTAGAGTCATGGGCTTCCCAGTGGGTCCTCAGATTGCTCAAGCCCGTGGACAATTGCAGGCAGCCCAATGAGTTACGGCCCGACCCATCACAGTCGTCCAATGATTTCACCGACGAAGTGCAGGCCCTACATGAACGGCGGCCCTTCCCGATGAGTACTTTGTGGTGCTTGTGGTTGACTTGATCACTGAGGACACATTGCCCATGTACCAAACCATGATCAACACCCTTGATGGGGTTCGTGATGAGAGTGGGGCGAGTCCAAGCCCGTGGGTTGTTTGGACTCGGGCTTGGACTGCTAAGGAGAACCGACATAGTGATCTTCTGAGGACGTATTTGTATTTGTCGGGTCGGGTTGATATGTTGATGGTTGAGCGGACTGTGCAGTACTTGATTGGAGCTGACATGGTGAGTATTAACTGCCTAAAACTTGGTTGTTAATGGGTTTAGTGTTTTTACACTGTGTAATTTGTGTCGTGTTAATATTTACTCAATCGTATTCGACCTATTTGTAAGTTGTGACGGGATTTTAGGCGGCTTGCCAGCAGTAAATCAACATGTGGACAAATACAGTCGTTATGAAGCGCAAAGGTCGCCTGGAAAAAATGACGAAGAGTCATGACCTAGAAGGTTGAGTGCACCCCTTTGGGCTTAGCATTAAAAGAGATATGACAACTCATTAATGGGGTCTTGAGTGACTGTGACATGGTCATTAATGAGCTTCTGTGTCCTCAAGAAATGTGATGATAGTTATCATTACAAGATATTGAATGCCATAACGCTAACTTGAAGTCCTTGGCAAACCCCGAGGGTGTTTTATTCCCGAATAGTAAACGCTTAGGCGTAGGTGTGAAGCATCGAGATGAGGTATTTAATGGTTGAGGATTAAGCCATAAAGGCTCGACTGATGCCGAGCAATGGTCTACTCACCCGAGGGGATCAGTCTTCGGGAGGTTTGATGGGATAGAATTCATTATGCTTAGGTATGAGTGCAGGCCATTAACATTTAAGATGGGACTCAAAGACCTTATCATCATTGCGAACTCAAGTATAAATACCCCTCAAAAGGTACGCAATTCCATTCTAGAAAATACACCATGTTCATGAACCTCATGACGACTTACTTGAGTTTTGGAGGGGATTAGCTAGGTACACATCCGACCCCCTTTTTTTAATTCTTTGTTTCAGGTTCAACACTACTCAGGATCGTTCCGTAAATCGCTATCTCAACTTATTGCAGGAACTCACCCTTGTAATTTGGCGCCGTTTATGAGAAGGCAAATAACTAGTTTTCTCTGTAGCGATAGTGTCATGGTGAACACACGATCATAAGGTGATGTGGGGGATAGCCTACACGTGAGAAACACGGAAGCTAGCCGGCTTCTAGTAGTCATTGAATCTGACTCCTTGAACCAGTCAGATGGAGTTCAGCGCGCCTCACAGCAGGCGTTACCAGTGGACCAGAGCAGGCACGAGATCGTTAAGTTGATGGAAAAACGTATGGGGAGCCATTTGAAGCGGCTTGAGAAAGACAACGCCAATGTGTAGACTCGGCTCGATGACTTCGAGTGGTTGGAGAATTCTAGCTGGCGGAGCAGTAGGCGTGGAGGCAGGAGTATCCGCTGTAGTGACTCTTGGGGCACTAGGTTGGATGCCTTAAGGAGAAGCTTGCATGAACTCCTGGGCAAGAAGTGCAAGGCTTGGGATTATGATGGGCTGGCCCCAAAGGAAAGATCTGAAGGAGGCAAGAAGCACAGACCCAATCTGTCCCATGGGGATCTTCGCCATAGACTCTTGGGAGGTGTAGAGGCGACAAAATCCCATATAGGCTCTGATGCGAGGGGGGACTAGAAGTAAGAGGCCCCGAGAGGACCTCTAATTAAGCTTGGATGTCAGGTGCCGAAGACCCCTCTATAGGGAGGATGACACCGAAGATGAGCAAATCATCTCTCCATTTGTTCGAGCTATTAGGGAGATCGAGATGCTGAAGAAGTTTACCATCTCCCGTTTTAAGGTTTATGATGGGAGGACAGACCCTGAGGGACATCTGCGGCAGTATAAACAATTGAAGTCCATCTATGACACTGACCATAGATTGTTATGCCGAGTGTCCCCTACGAGCCTGGGAGACACTGCCATGAAATGGTATGAGGGTTTGGCCCCTGAAAGTATTAAGTCTTGGAAGCACATGACCGAGTTATTTATGCCCAATTTATTACCAACAAGAAAAGGCCGAAAGACATTGGCGCTCTAATAACGCTAAAACGAAGGGGTGTAGAGACCTTTTGGCAGTATATAATCAGGTATTGGGAGGAGGTAGATGAAGCTGAGGCATGCTCGGAGACCATGGCAGTAGCGATATTCTGGCTAGGGTTGTCCCGAGACACTGATCTGTATCGATCTTTGACTAAACGGGCACTGGTGGACATGAAGGACCTAATGTCTCGGATAAACAAGTATGCGAGGGTGAAGGAGGAGTTGGATATGCCCGAGTCTAAGGCTTAGGAGGGGAGCACCGGCTCCGGCCCCAAGCCGCATGCCATTCCAAGGCGTGAGCATGGTCTTTAAATATCCCATTTAAAAAATGCCCTACAAGATAAATAAGGAGCCTTTTTTAAGTGCCCCCCCTAAACATGCAAGGGGATCCATCTTGAGACGTTGGGCATCTTACAGAGGACTGCAGGGTATACAAATCATTCCTGAAACAGTTGGTCCAAGATAGTCATCTCGAGGAATTCATTAATAACGTGGTCCCAAGAAGCTCAGCAAGGGAAGGAGTAGACATAACCCAAGAAGTGACAACCGTGATTGAAGTAATACATGCTTGGACGGTGGAAATGCCAACTTACAATTCACTCTGAGCCGACCTCTAGAAGGTTTCACAAGCCATGAAGGTAGAGAAAAGCAAATGTGGGGGACAATCTAAAAGAACTTGGCTAGATGTCGAGACAATTCATTTTTCGATGCCAACCTGGGGTGGGCTGGCCCTCCCACACGAACACGCCCTAGTGATCACCCTTTGGATTGAGAAGTTTGATGTCAAGAGGATCCTGTGGATTCAAGAAGTTCCTCCAAGGTAATGTACGACAACCTCTTTCGTAAAATGAGTTTCACTCAGAAAGACTTAAAGCCCACAAAAACCCCCTTGTTGGATTCAACGGTTCGTATGCCTTCCCGCTCGAAAAGGTTACGCTCATGGATACTGTCAGGGTTTTCATGGTCCCGATTGAATTTGTGGTGATAGACTCTGATTCTCCATACAATGTCATGGGCAGGACGTGGTTGCACACAATGGAGGCGGTGCATTCGTCTTATTATTAGAAGATAAATTTTCCCACGTCGAGAGGAGTCATGGAAATTCATGGCGATCAAGCATAGTCAAAGATAGGGGTGTTCACCCTACCTTACGGGTAGGAAATACAGTCTTCCATTTTCCTACCCGATACTTTGTGGAATAATTTTTTCTTGGTTTACCCTACCCGATCAAGTGTGACATTTCTACTCGATTTTCAGCCAAATTAATCGGGTAGGAAGTCAGATAAAAAATCAGGTGAACATTTTTGTAGTTATTAATTTTTGGATCATTTTAACAATTCAATTGAATAACATGCACCAATTTAACAATATAATAAATCAATAACACTAAAATCTAAAATAATTACAACAAAAATTACAATAAAACACAAGAAATCATAATTATTGTACAAATACAATAAAAATTATTTTAAATTTAAATCATATGGTTAGAGAATTAGGATTTTTAGATTATATATATATTAATGTGGGTAGGGTAGAGTATGATAGGAATACAGAAATTAATGACTATTTTGCATTCCTACTCGATTTAATCAAAAAACCAAAAACTCTTTCGCATTCTTACCCGATGTTTTCGTCTAGCCGTTCAATTGGGTTGGGTAGGGTAGGGTAGGAAACTGTGGTTAATCAAAAATTTGAACACCCCGAGTCAAAGAGTTGCTTTTACGAAGTAGTGAAAACCAGGGTGAACGCTAAATCCCAATAGCGTGACCCTGAGGCAGTGATAGGCAAATAGCAATCACAGTTTGGTCGGCCAGCCATTGAGGATCCTATTACTGACCCAGCAGATCGGTCTACGGAGGGTTTAGTTAAAGTCCTCCGGCATCCCGGGGATGAAAAGAGGTTTTTCCTGATAGGGGTATCATTGGGAGGCACCGAAAGGTCAGATATGATGAACTTCCTTTGTTTGAACGCTAACGTCTTCGCATGGACCCCAACGGAGATGACAAGGATAAGCCCCAAGGTGATATGCCACCGACTTTATGTTGATCTAGCCTTCAAGCCTGTGAAGCAAAGGGCTCGGAGGTCGACGCCTCACCACGTACAAGCGGTTAACGAAGAGGTAGACCGGTTGCTCGGGCCTGGATCAATCAAGGAAGTCTAGTTCCTCGAGTGGCTGTCAAACACGGTGTGTGCAAAGAAGAAAAGTGGAAGGTGGCAAGTTTGAGTGAATTTTACAGACTTGAACAAGGCATGCCCCAAAGATGAATACCCTTTGCCAAAGGTCGATCAACTCATTGATGCAACCGCGGGGCACAGGCGTATTAGTTTCATGAACGCTTGAGCTGGTTATCACCAGATCCTTTTGCATGAATCTGATTAAGAGAAAACGACGTTCATCACATCTTGAGAGATATATTGTTACACAGTGATGTCGTTCGGTTTGAAAAATGCCAGTGCCACTTATCAGTGCTTGATAAATAAGATGTTCAAGCAATAGCTTAGCATCACAATGGAAGTATATATTGATGACATGTTGGTAAAGAGCAAGGAGAAAGACGACCATCCTTGGGATCTTAGGGTCACCTTCACCGTGCTCCGAAAGTATGACCTGAAGCTCAACACTTCGAAGTGTGTGTTTGGGGTAAGCTTGGGCAAGTTCTTAAGATATCTAGTCACCCATCGGGGCATAGAAGTCAATCTCGATCAAGTACAAGTCGTGCAGGACAAACAGAGGCCAAAGACCGCGAAAGACATACAAAAATTAATTGGGATGCTGACGACTCTCAACCAATTTATCTCCAAATCCTCGGACAGGTGTAGGCATTCTTCGCCATGCTTAAGGGTGCAGTAAAAGAATCTTGGGGTGAAGAATGCTATCTAGTATTAGAGAGAATCAAGGAGTATTTGAGACCCCCTCCGACCCTGTCCATTCTAGCGGTTGGTGAAGTTCTAAATATCTTCCTATCTGTCTTAGAATGGGCAATCAATGGAGCTTTGGTAGGGGAGCACAACGAAGTAAAAAGACCGGTTTATTATGTAAGCAAGACCTTGCTTGATGTTGAAACTAAGCACCTTCCTATGGGGAAGCTTGTATTGGTCTTAGTTGTCTCGGCAAGGAAACTTAGACACTATTTTCAGGCCCATCCCATAGAGGTCTTGACCAATCGGTCCTTAAAGCCCACACATCACAAATGTGACACGTCTAGATAAGTTACCAAGTGGGCCGTGGAGCTAGAAGAGTTTGAGATAATCTACAAGCCCTAAACTTTCATCAAAGGGAAAATCCTTGCTGATTTCATTGTCGAGTTCTCTGCATCTGAGTCTCCACCAGAGGGGAAGCTGGTAACTTTCAACCGTGATGATATTTGGAGTTTTCATATGGATGGATCCTTGAACACAAGGGGGGAAGGAATATATGTAGTCTTGGCCAATTGTGGAGGATTTACAATGGATTGACCTATTAGACTCAGATTCAAAGCATCCAATAATGAGGTCGAGTACGAGGAGTTGTTGGCTAGGCTCGATATTGCGTACCGGATCGGGGTATGACACCTCTATTTTTTTATGATTCCCAGTTGGTGGTAAATCAAATTAATGGAGACTTCGTAGTCTGGGATGATAAGATGAAAGCCTATCCTTGGAGAGCAAAGTCAAGAATGGAGAAGTTCGAGAAGATAAAGATGTCCCAAATTTCAAGAGATCACAATAGCCACGCTGATGCGTTAGCTTGCCTTGCCTCAACCTTGACTTTAGAGGTAACTCGGCGCATTATTGCTGACTACTTGGAAAGTCTGAGCATAAGGGGATTGAATGTCGAGGAGCTATTGTTGACACATACGTAGAATGTGTCTCCAGGCTAGAAGGACGCCATGATCAAGTATTTAATGGACGAGATACTCCCAGAGGATGTCAAGGAAGCTAGGAAGGTAACACTGAAAGCTCCTAGATTCTGGATGTCCCCCAATCACAAGTTGTATAGGAGATCCTTCTTGGGACCATATTTACTTTATTCCCAAGGATAAGATAGAACTGTTGCTATATGAGCGAGGTTTATGAAGGTGTATGTGGAAGTCACACAGGGGGAAGATCGCTTGCACATCGTGCGATGTCCCAGTGGTATTGGTGGTCATATATGCAGAAAAATGCTAAGAGATATGTTCAGAAGTGTGATAAGTGCCAAAACGTTTGCTCCCATCATCCGTCAACTGGCAGGAGACCTAAACCTGTTGATGAGTCCTTGGTCATTTTCCTAGTGGGGCAAGAAATTCCTCTTAGTCGCCACTGATTACTTCACGAAGTGGATTAAAGCCGAGCCCCTAAGCCATATTCGTGATGTGAAAACAAAGAAATTCGTATGGTAAAACATCATTGCTCGATTCAGCATACCTCGAGCCATCGTCTCCAATAATAGCACCCAATTCAACAATGGGCCATTCAGGAAATTCTGTTATGGATTTGGAATACGCAACTATTATTCCACCACGACATATCCTCAATGTAATGGGCAAGCGGAGGTTTCCAATAAGATAGTTTTGGCTAGAATAAAGAAGATGTTGGAGAGACCTAAATGTAGATGGATCGAGGAGCTACTCAATGTCCTATGGACATATAAGACTATCCTGAGGGCTTCAACAAGGGAAATTCTCTATGCTATGACATATGGGGTCGAGGCCATTATTTCTTTGGAGGTAGGACTCCCGACTATATGAAGTCAATCCTTCGAGTTAGGTAATAATGATCACACAATAGCAAGGGATCTCGATTTGGCTGAGGAAAGAAGGGAGTTGGCATCTATACAACTAGCCAAATATCAAGAGGAGTTGTCAAGGTAGCATCAAAAGAAGGTCCGAACAAGGGGTTTTTAGGTGGGGAAACTAGTGTTGTGCAAGGTTGTGGGCAATACTTAGGAACCCACTAATGGGAAGCTCGACCCAAATTGGAAGGATCTATACAAAGTCATTGTCGTGGGGAGCACAGGGGCATACTCGTTACAAGATATGGATGAGAAAGATGTAAATTGACCTTGGAATGTTATCAAATTTGAAAAAAAATATTACTACTAAGTTGATTTCAAGAGTTGGATCTCAAGATTAATACGAGCCTTGTGCTCAATCGTTAAGGGTAAGGCCCCGAGAGGGTTAAGACTTCATCCTTAGAGCACTGCCCTCGAAAAGATCGACACGAGACTCGGGCTCAGTCTTTAGGGGTAAGGCCCTGAGAGGGGTAAGTCTCCATCCTTGGAGCATCACCCTTGAAAAGATCAACACGAGCCTCAGGCTCGGTCATTAGGGGTAAGGCCTCGAGAGGAGTTATCCTCCATCCTTGGAGCACTACCCTCAAAAAGATTAACAAGAAACTCGGGCTCGTTCGTTAGCAGTATGGCCTTGAGAGGGGTAAGACTCCATCCTTGGAGCATCATCCTCGAAAATGATAAATGCAAGCCTCAGGCTTGGTCGTTATGGGTAAGGCCTTAAGAGGGGTAAGCCTCCATCCTTGGAGCACTACCTTCAAAAAGATCAACACGAGCCTCAGACTCAGTCATTAGGGGTAAGGCCTCGAGAGGAGTAAACCTCCATCCTTGTAGCATTGCCCTCGAAAAGATCAACACGAGAATCGGGCTCAGTCATTAGGGGAAAGGCCTCGAGAGGGATAAGCCTCCATCCTTAAAGCACCTCCCTCGAAAAGATTAACAAGAGTCTCTGGCTCGGTCGTTAGGGGTAAGGTCCTGAGAGGGTAAACCTCTATCCTAGGAGCACCATTGTCGAAAAGATCTACACGAGCCTCAGGCTTGGTCAATTAGAAGTAAGTCTCCATAATTGTGTGTTTTCTAAAAATTTTCATTAACCTCGAATCAGTCACACATTATTTACCAAAATAAAGAAGAAAACAATACGAAAGAAGAAGAGAGACTACATTAATGAAAAGGAGACCGTGCGTCCTCTAGGCTTATAAATAAAATAATAAAATATATATCCAAGTTTTTCTAAGGGTCTTTGGGTTTAGTAGGCTCGCCGAGGTCACCTCCAAGATCTTCACTTCTAAGACTTGATTGGTGTCTTTTGAGAGACCTTTCACTAGTACCAAGGATCTCGTCAAGCTCCCCAAACTCGTCCCTACTGGGATGGATGATGGGGGTGTCGAGGACGGAGGGATCACCAATATGCATGGGGAGAGTAGGAGAAGGAAGATGAAGGGGAGACATTCTCTCTGATTCATCACTGAAAGTGATCGGCACTATCTCTGCCGTTGTCTCCTTAACTTCTTTAGCCAACCCTTCTGGTGGAGTCAGCTTGGCACTCGGTTGGACGACAGTGGGGGCCGCAGATTTAGTAACTCCTTGCAAATTGTGCATTGCAAATAGCCCATAGTCTGCGGTGACCCTAGAAGCACGAAGAGTCTCATCCCAACCTTGCTTGAAAGCTTTCGTTTTCCCATCGACGAAGGTTGAGATGAACTGCTCCTAGCATTGCTTGTACACGTCCATGCAGACCGTGTTTAGCCTCTCAACCTTATCTTCCTCTAGTGCCTCCACCTTTGAGGTCAGGGCCGCACAATTGGCCTCGCCTTCCAGTAACTTGGCCTCGGTAGCAAAAACCTTAATCTCGACCTCTTCCATCCTCCTCGCTGCCTTGACCTCGGCATTCTTGCTCTTGTTTAACTCGACGGTGAAGGCTTCGAATTTGTGGATCAAGTCAACGATGCTCTTAGACTAATCGCGACCGTCCTCTCCATTTGGACAATATGGGCGTCCTTCTTGGTGAGCTCAGCTTGAGCATTGTCGGCTCTGCTCCTATAGGCCCAGAAATGGTCAATGATAACCCCCATTTGTTGGCAAGCCTGAAAAGGGAAAGAGTAAACATCAAGACACAGTTATAGTAGGAAAATGTCAAAAGCAGACTCAAAGCTATATCAAAAGAAGACACGATTATAGTAGTAAACATCAAGATGCGGTTATACATCAAGAGTGCTTACCACCAAGTTATGCTGGACCACGCCCTGGAGGAGCCGATTGTCTCCATACTCGTCTAGGATTTCCATTTCGGCGTCAAAGTGTAGGGTCCCACTGACGTCTAGAGCCACGTCAGGGAACTGGATGATAGAGTTAGACTCCAGGACGGTTTGCCCATTCTTGTGACTGCTTGGGGGCCCCTTTAGTGGTGCCAAAAGGCGTCGGGGTGTCATGGTGCTGTTTGACTCGATGCTCTCTTTGTCGATCATCAGTCCATTTTGAGGGCTCGTCTTGGTGCCTTCAATGCTGATGTTGAACCCTCAGGGGGACATCTTATTGTTGTTGTTGCTGTTGTTGCTATTGTTATGGCTGTTGTCGGCACTCTTGTTAGCGTAGGGGGTAGGCGGAGGCACGACGATTGGCGCAGTGCCAGAAGACCCACCAAGCCCCAAGATCAACGCTCTTCTGGCCGCGGAGGTAGCCTCCAGATTTTCTACGGTGATGGGGGATGCAAATCATCTTGGCGGTGAGTGAATGTGTTGGAATAGACTCAGACTCGCAATCGGGTTCTTCTTCAAGGTTCTCCCCTTTGTCCGAGGAATGATCAACCTAGATGTAAGGGTCAAATGGTGGGGAAATTTGAGAGAATCTGGTGTAGCCGGGATGATAGTCGAGGAGCACGTGTGCTGCTCGATCGAAGGGATCGCCGAGGTTGTAAGAACAAACCTTGATTATGTCGTCGAAGGCAACTTTTGCTTTTGAAGGCTGGGTGGCGTCCCTCTTGTATCCCTCTGCAAAGAAAAAATACAAAGTTAGAAACAGAACTAATGATTGAGGAGTGGTGAAATCGGTGAAAGGCCCACCAAGGTCCCTCGGTATCTTGGGGCAGAAGAGGCCATCACACTTGGGTCCTTCAACCGTCTCCCATCTACCGCCGAGCATGATGAGATCCTGAGTGTACTCTTTGTCCGAGTCAGGCATGTGTGTCACCAAGTATATGGATGTGTCTCGTGCCTGTAAGTAGTAACTGCTGTCGTTGATTAACTTCAAGTTATAACAGATCAGGATTTCATCTACCCCAAGGTTCACTCCTAGCTGAGCATTCAAGGTAACCATGCCCATGACTATACTAAAGAAACTAATGCAACATTGGAGAGGGAAGAGCCTCAGTTGCATGCGAACTCTAAAGAGAAGGGGAGGCAGAGAAAATCACCCTCCCCTTTCCATAAAGGCCTTGGTGTGAAATTGCATGAGTTCCACACTGCTCACATCAGCCCTATGAAATGTGGGGTCGTAAACAAAGGTGAAGACAGACTCGGGGATGTTGTAAGTGGCTCTAAAAGCTTATATGTTGGCATTAGTCACATGGGTTCTCCTCAACCTACCTGTATCACTAGACCTAACTGATTCCCTTACGACTCTAGTTCTTTGTATGATGGCCATTGGGGATTTCTAGAGACAAGTAGAAGAGAATGAGGAAGATAAAGGAGAAAGTATAGATAGGAAAGTACTTATAGGTTCAATGGCTTTGAAGGACTTGCTCGGGGAAAAAGTGGATGACTGCTTGGGAGATAAGTACTGATTGAGAGTTCGAAGATCCAAGAGTCTCAAATGATCCTAAGACTCCCTTATTTATACTGACTGCAACATGGGCGGGAATTGAAGAAGCCATTAAGTGCGAATTTGAAAATCCCATGCCAGACGTGCGGGTAACCGGCTCTAAAATCTAGGCGTGTTGAGGAAGCTCCACTCTCCACGACGCGAGGAAAATGGAGGTTGGGGGGCAGTTGACTGGAATTTAGGTGGCTTGAAAGCAAAAAATTGACACGTGGACAAATATAGCAGTTATGAAGTGCAAGGGTCGCTTGGGAAAAATGCCAATGATTCATGACTTGGAAGGCCGAGTGCACCCCTCTTGGCCTAGCATTAAAAGGGATATGACAGCTCATTAATGGAGTCTTGAGTGACTGTGACAGAGTCATTAATGAGCTTCTGTGTCCTTGAGAAATGTGACGATAGTCATCATTACAAGGCATTGAATGCCATAACCCCAACTTGATATCCTCAGCATACCCTAAGGGTGCTTTATTCCTGAATAGTGAATGCTCAGGCATAAGTGTGAAGTGCTGAGGGGAGGTATTTAATGGTTGGGGATTTAACCATAAAGGCTTAACTGATGCCGAGCAATGGACTACTTGCCCGAGGGGACCAGTGTTCAAGAGGTTTGATGGGATAGCATTCCTAATGCTTAGGTATGAGTGTAGGCCATTAAACTCTAAGATGAGACTAAAAGGCCCTAACATCATTGTGAACTTAGGTATAAATACCCCTAAAAAAGTTGGTCCAAGGTACACAATTCCACTCCAGAAAATACACTATGTCCATGAACCGCATGCCGACTGACTTGAGCTTTGGAGGGGATTAGCTGGGTACACACCCGACCCCCTTTTTCTAATCCTTTGTTTCAGGTTCAATGCTATTCAAGATCATTGTGCATATCACTATCTTAACTCATTGAAGGAACTCACCCATGCAAGTTGCAAGTTCTTGTCGTGTCGAATATTTTTTGCATTGTGTTTTTCTTTCCATAAAATGTACAGGATACAGGGTTTGAAAGCAATCCCTTCTTGGGCTTTGTGTACATATCCTCCCAAGAGTGAGCCACCTTCATATCCCATGGAAAAATGGCTCAGCTAGCCAAAGAGGGTGGTGATCTAGTGCTCGCACGTATATGATGGACAATTGCATAAGACGAGAAACGCCACAAGAACGCCTACTCTCTAATCGTTGAAAAACTCCTTGAGGTGGACCCTACTTGTGCCATGTTGGCAATAGTGGACATGATGATGAAGAAGATTACAATGCCTGCCCATCTAATGTACTGCAAGAGGGACCCATATTTGTTTGAGCACTTCTCAGTTGTGGCCTAGCGACTAGGAGTGTACATGGTTGAGGATTATGCAGATATTTTGGAGTTCTCAATGGAACGGTGGAGAACGGAGAAACTTGAGAGATTGAAAGGCGAGGGGAAATGTGCAAATAGAGGTGTACATGGGCTGGACTAGGCCTAGGTAGTGTAAGGCCAAACCCTTTCCCAAGTGAGATATCGACACGGGTAAGGGTAGAAAATCCGTAGCCCAACCTGCGAGCCTATTGGGTGGGCTTGCTAGGAAGGCCTGCTTGTGGGTTTTTTTATATATAACTTAATTTAAAAATAATAAATATTTTTGTTAACTTAATATTTGTGTAAATTATATTTTTAAATCAAAATTAGAGTCAAAATAGATAAGAATAAAACAATGAATAATTTTATTTTTGATTAGGGGATGAACTACATCCAATAGAATGAATACATCCTAACTAGGTTGACATCTACTCACTTATCTATCATTTGCATTACTCTACCCTTTAAAACATGTACGCTTAATACATGAAAAATAAAATAATACATTATTTATAGTATCTAAATTTTTAAAACTTCAAATTCTGACATTTGGAGACTTATTTCAAAGTTTTAAATTTAATGGTCTAAAAGTATAACTTTTTTTCAAATGAAGGGTGGGCAAGTTATGTGGGTGTGTGGGCGAGCGGGCTCTTGGGCCAGGTTTTAATGGATTTTTTCGGGTGGGCTATTGGGCCGAGTAATGGGTTTGGGGGAAAACACAAGCCCTCTTTTTAAGAATATTAGGCTTGGATTTGGGCAGGCCAACTATCGGGCCTATCAGATTTCGGGCCTTTTTTTGGGCTAGGTAACGGGACCCATAGGTAATTAGACCCATGAACACCCCTATGTGCATGGGACATTGTGTGTAGGTTACAACCTAGGATTAGGAAGCTGCAAGAGCGAGCCGATGAGCAAGCAAGAATGTTGGAGCCTTGTGGAGCTAAGTTCATATGCATTTTCAATAAGGAAGTGACTTTGTAGATATTGCTCACATGCACCCCCAAAATAGACAAAATCCGACCCCCACCTCAAAAGTTTACATCAATTCTCTATAGTTTGCAACTTTTTAAATTATTCAATTTTTTTTTTCAACTTGTAATACAATATCAGTTTAATCTATTAGATGATGACAAATAATTTTCCTACTAAAAGACGTCATCCTTACATCACCTAATAGGCATGTGTCATCTTTTTTGCTTGAATAAAAGTTATATCAAGAGTCGGGGAATGTACACAATTTAATTAACCTGAAAATTATTTGAAATGAATTTCAGACAAGACTACTTGCCGAATCATTTGCAAGAGACCTACATTTACACACACATGCAACAGACACACCTTTTTTATTTTTTCAACAATTAGGAGTTTTTGGCCATTGGCCAATGTAGACGTATCTCAATTAATTTTTTTTTCTGATTCTGTCAAAGACAAATCTTTCACGCCAAAACTAGGGTATGGATGAGGTGCAACAAATACACTCCCTCCCTCCGTCCTAAAATTACCCAATGCAAGACATTGGTGCATTTTATTTCTTATTTCCCAAAGTGGGTTCAATTCCCCTTACCAT